ACAATAGAGACGCGATTACTGACTATGTTAGGTTTTAGTAGATTTAATAATCCTATGATCCTACTAAAAGGGAGGAGTTTGACAAGTGATAGCAAAGTTGACTTTAATAACGGTCTACGATGTGTAAATATACACTGTAATCTAGTTAGTAGCAGCTACAACGTTAACCCTTGGGGAAGACCCAGCGATGTAATAACAAATGTTACAGTTCCAACTGACAGACCATTATTAGGCTCAGTTGTTAGTTACATTGATGTTGAAAGCAGGATTTCAGTTATTAAGGGTTCGTTCTCAGAACTTGTATTCCACATGACAGATCAAGACGGGAAACCTACTGATATAGGTGAAGTGCTTATCGAGATGTACCTTGAGTAGCCAGCTTACATTAGTTAATGTAAGATGGACGATGATATTATGAAAGAACAAGGACTACGAGATATTTACTACAATCCTAAGACTGGATTCCAGACACCAGAGAAACTATATCTTAGAGCAATATCAGACGGACTTAAAGTAACCAGAAACCAGGTTAAGAAATGGATAAACGAACAAGATACATACACTAGGTACAGACAAGTATTTAGGAAACATAAGTTCAGACAGACGTACGTTCAAACTTTAGGTGAACAGTTACAAATGGATTTAGTTGACATGACAAAATACGATGACAAGAACAAGGGATACCGATGGATTCTAACATCTATTGAAATACTAAGTAGGTACGCATTCACAGTACCAGTGTATAGGAAAAACACGACATCAATGAAGGACGCAGTCAGTAACATTTTAGAGCAATTTAATAATCACTTTGGTAAATACCCAAAATTCGCCCAGTTTGATCAAGGCACAGAGTTTTACAATAAAGATGTAAAGTCATTGCTTAATAAATATAACATTGAGTTTTTCTCTACTTACTCAGACAAAAAGGCCGCAGTTGTGGAAAGATTTAAGGTGGCTCCCTACAGTTAGTACAGTTTAAATACGATTTATATAGATCAGACTTCATCCTCGCGACCTGCGCGTGGAATCGTGTTCGGGCAAAGATTAAGTATATAAAGATGGCCGACTCGCGGAAAATTCCTTTGTTCTCGGTGTCCCCCGTTTCGAAAGCCCACGCGGTTTCCACGCGTTTCGTCTGGTAAGCGCCGAACCAAATTTTTGTATTGAATTGTATGGCGAAATGCCGAATTTTCACAATAAAACAGCGATTTTAAAAACATCTACCGTCCTATCTTTATTTTGAGGACAAAATTTGAAAGAACATGTCAAGCTGCGTCTGTTAAAGGGAAAATTATTACACGAATATGTTTAAAACGAACGAAAATTTGGATAAACGACCTCCGAAGGAGTGAGATCTTATACTGTCAACAAGTCAGGTGAGATTCTTTTCATTTCTTGATCATTTTTCGATAGTGTTTTGTGAAATTTCGTACCTTAGACAACGGATGCATATAGGACTATTGCTAACTAACGCTAAAAATATGTTTGGGATGCGTACAACCAGAGTTTTTATATACTGTACAGGGTACAAACAATATACTAATACAAACAATATTCAAATATATAGAAATATTATTTTGTTTATATGCTAGTACCAAAATGTTTCGTTATACACAAAGATAGTAAACGCATTTAGACCTGAAATATATCTTTAAGACCAAACACAATTGACCATTGACGGTCCCTCCTTATAATAAATACAACCTCAAACTGGTTGTCTCTGTGTGTGCAGCTGTGTTTCATCCAATTGTATTTCTGTAAAATACACCCAATAAATAATCAAATTATTCTTTTTTTAGTTGAATGATAGACTTTCCATGTTAAAAGAACTACAAATGTACACTTTGACTATCTGGGTAAAAGGCAATGACAATGGATTGTTGATCAACAATGTTTTGTGGAATGCTTAGCTATCCAATTTGAAAAATACTGTCAAATATTCTATACATTTTGATGTTCTGAGTTTGATTATTTTATTGTATATTCCACATTGACTTAACTCTTATTAGGGTATACAAAACTTATAGTATTGTTAAATGTAAACATACATGTGCACCTCTTCAAACATAATGTGAGTTGTGTTAGATACTGCTTTCTCTGATTGCACTCAAGCTGCCAAGAAATAGCAATTATTTTTGTTACCGAAGAAAATGGTATCAAAGCATATCCCTCATTATATTAAAATGCTACTGGATAACTGATCCCATAACAGTAATTAAATATTATTGTAATTATTAAACATTTTGTTTGTATATGTGAGTTAATAGCTTGTTTGGACTATTGCACATGGTGAGTTATTGCTTACTTGGACTATTGCACTCAGTAAAATTAGCTTTGAAACAGTGCCTAATACACTTGTCATCGGAAACACGCACCCCTCCACCCCAGGGGAAACATGGGCATAAATAGACTTTTTTAGAAACTAATGAAAGAAAAAGCCCCACACATAGGGGCAAGCAAAACAGGCCAAAGCCACTTCTGGAATAACACATTTAGTAAAAGTTTCAAACATGGAATATTTAAAGTAGAATGATGAATAACTTTAAACATAGAACACTAACATGGCTTCTTGTGCAAAAACATCAGTCGTCCATTCGACAATAGGTAGCCCACATGTAATCATGCCTAATCTTGTCCTCAAACTACACCTCTCACAGTCTCACCTCCCACCCACCCATGTTTCCCCGGGGTGGGTGTGTGTGGGTGGTGGTGGTGGTGATGGGGGGTGGTCCGATGACAAGTGCATAATACATATAGCAGATTTACAACAGACAAGGTGCTTGCTACAAAGACAATTTCTTGAGTTTAAGAGTCCAAATAAGTAATAACACAACATGCACATTCAAAGTTTAAGGTTTTGAAAGGAAATTAAATTACTGGCATGTATTTCATCATATTTTGTGTCTTTTGTGAATATTCGTTTAATGGTTTGGTTTAAAAACATAGTAAAATTTGTGTACAGTAGTGAATGATCAATACTAAAATACACAAATTTAGTTTTTCAAAGGCAAAAACGTAATTCATTCCAATTTATCTCGTTTTATACATATATTCCTAATATTTTTGATAATTTCAATGTATATATTAGTTTTTAAAACATTTTACATTATAATAAATGATTTTGACCTTGATTTTCACAATTGTCAAAATTATATAAACTTTTTTTGCACAATTTTTTTTCTTTTTATCAAAAGTATAAATTATCCAAATTAAAAAATATCCAAGACATCCAAGCAACGCATACAAATAGCACTTGACATTATAATAACCTAAAATCATCAAGACATTAGAAATACTTTAAAATTACTGCACGATTCAGTTTCAGACTGTGGAGTAAAATAGAACGATCAAACTCTGCAGTAAATTGTCTTTGTATATATATATAAAAACTCTAGTTATACGCATCCCAAACATGTTTTTAGTGTCAGTTAGCAATAGTCTTATCCTATATGCATCTGTTGTCTAAGGTACGAAATTTCACAAAACACTATCGAAAAACGAAAAGAATCTCACCTGACTTGTTGACAGCATAAGATCTCACTCCTTCGGAGGTCATTTATCCAAATTTTCGTTCATTTTAAACATATTCGTGTAATAATCTACTGTTCAACAGACGCAGCTTGACATATTCTTTCAAATTTTGTCCTCAAAATAAAGATCGGACGGCAGATGTTTTTAAAATCGCTGTTTTATTGCGAAAATTCGACATTTCTCCGTTAACTTCAATACAAAAATTTAGTTCGGCGCTTACCAGACTCTCGCGCATGCGCAGTGAAAAAGTGGGGACAGGATTTTCCGCGAGTCGGCCATCTTTATATACTTAATCTTTGGTTCGGGCCAGTTCGGCAAAAATATTGAAACAAGCCGTGGGAAGTTTTTTGGCGTTTTTATCTACAAAGAAAGCCCCAGTTTTTCATTATAATCCTAATTTTTTCTGAATTCGAACAGTACGTATGTTATTAACTAGTTTAACCTATCTTTTAGTGTGTTTTTACGTATTTACGTTCAGTATTGTCTTTCATATTGCTCAAAATTTTCAACTTGTTGTTTTGCGAGCTGTCAAACTGAAATGATACTGTCTTCTATTAACTCTTGAACAGTAGTTTACTGTTGCCGAAACTTATATAAGTTCTGTCAATCAGTTGAATTTACAGGTATCGTTTTATCTGCTAAATCAAATAAAACAGTTATGAGTTGTTTTATATGAAAAGTTGAACTTGTAGTTCGATGTTTTGAAAAGTTTTCACACCGATTTTAACAACAAAAACAAATGTAAACTAACACTGGATTTAATACAATGCCTATAATAGTGTTTTTTATTAGTATTTTCAAGATTAATATTTTATTTTCATGTCAAACAAGTCAGAAATATCTGTTTTCTTATGTATTGTAAGCCAAAAAGTTGAAATCACTATAAATCACACGCTACAATTTACACGCATGCGCAGATCGTGCTCATGTCGAGTCGATTTTTTTTCATGCTGGCCACACCGATTTTAGCGATGATTTTCTCGTGTTTTCTTCGGTGAAATTTTTTTAAACTTTGTATTTTTGTTATACAAGACGAGTGGTACAACATATCCAAATTTTAAGAAATTCTACAAATAACTTTTTCTGTAACCGTCATTCACGAATATCTCGAAAACTTATTTGTAAATTCCCTTCAAATTTTGATATGTTTTTCCTTTATGGACCATAAATCTTCAAAAAAAATTTCAGAAAAATTCACCGAAGGAAAACATAGATATTGTCAATTTATTGTGAAATTAGACAATAAAAGTGCAAAAGACTAAACGTCATGGTTGCCATGGCAACACAAATACTGTTTTAATTTGTTCATAAATGGACAGCACACAGCTTCTGAACTTTCCTGGAAATGATCATATTGCCTTGTCTTAAGTGTATCTAATATAAATTCGGTTCAAAGCGAACGATACTCAAAATACCTAGAACTTTAGAGAACTGTAGGGAGCCACCTTAACAGAACACTAAAAGCGCTAATGTGGAAGTACTTCTACAGTGCCAGTACATATAAATGGTTGGACGTCCTTCAAGACTTAACTGATAATTACAACAGTTCAGTGAACAGATCAATTAAAACAACACCGGACAGTGTAAATGATTCCAACTGGACTGAAGTATGGAAGACACTTTTTAGTCACAATTTAGGCAAGCCGTCAGAACCAAAGTTTGCTGTCGGAGAAAGTGTTAGAATTTCAAAGTACAAATCAGTGTTCACAAAAGGATATGAAGAAAATTTCACAGAGGAGTTATTTACGGTGACGGAAGTGTATCACGGCCATCCAAACACGTACACAATAGAAGACAGTGCTGGTGAAGCAATAATTGGCAGATTCTATGAACAAGAACTATATAGCGCTGAAGGAAGAGAACCTGATTTTAAGATAGAGAAAGTACTAAGAAGAAAAACGGTGAAGGGTAAAAAGATGGCCCTAGTTAAGTGGTTAGGTTATGATGACAAATTTAACAGTTGGATACCAGCTGGAGACATCAAGTCCCTAACATAAGTTAAAGTATTATGGAGGACTACGATGACATTGAGTTGGAGGGGACAGAAAAAACTTATCCTCAATATGACAATCTTAATTATGATGACCTAACGACAGCTTTTAGTAGGTTAGATATAAGGGTGAAGGGAGAGGCTATATATGGTGATGACCCTATAGTATTAAATAATCTTAAAAGTGAACTAGACTATGTAAAGGATCTCATGGAGAGACGTGCAATAGAAGAAACAACTTTCACCGAAGGAAATGATGGTACAGTGAACATTTCAGGTCCATCAGGAAGCACAACTGTCCCGGAAGTCAACTTTGTGGAAGACCCAAACAATGTACTTCCAGACGTGCTAGATGCATTCAACAAATCATTTGACGCTGACTGGGATGAAATAGAAGCTCGCCTTGAGAAACTGAAAAAGTTCTCAGAAGACCGGCTTACAGCAAATAAAAAGAGAGATTTCGAAAACCAAGTGGAGCGTGTTCAAGCTGTCGCGAGAGTTATCAAAGGTAAGGAGGGAATAATACTAGACCCTAAGAATAGATACGTCAGGGAACTCATAAAACGATCATCTGTAAGAACACTCAAGGATGGCACAGAGGTGTTGGTATTTAGAAGTGAACAAGGTATTGACAAAAGTGGAACACAAATAATGAAACGTGGTAAGACCAGTAAACCTGTGTACTCCAAGAACTCCATTGCATTAAGAGAATACAAGGACCTTCTAAAGAAAATAAAAGAGGTACCTACGGATCCTGACAATATAATTGGAAGTGATGAATCAATTTATGAGGATACTAAAGAAGAGCCACAATTTGATGAAAGTAGTGAGGAATACGCTGACCGTGAGAACATTGAGTTAATAGATATAAGTGCAAAACTAGGAGACCTTCCAGGGCTAACAATGCAAGAAAACAATGAACTGAGAGGTGTTCTTAACCCACCTGATGGATCAAGCATAGAAGGCAGAATAGGTCCCAATGGAGCGCTGCAAATACAAGCGGACTACTTTAATGAAGCTATTGGTAAAACCGTGGAACGCTCCACCTCTGCGGAAGGTACAACTGAGTATAATTCCCTTATAGAAAGAATTGACAGTTTGAAGGAAGCTAGAGATCGAACCCTAGAGCAGAGAACTGTAGAGGAAGCAAGAGAGGCACAGTTGGAAGATATTTCTAGATTACGTAGATTTATAGACTGGGTAGGAAAGGAAAAGGTGGGACTTGCAGGTATAGCAGTGTCAACAGCAGGTTTAATTACAGCCTTGTTAATCCATGCCAGGGGAGCCCTTGTGAAGACAGGAAAGGCCACTGGTAAGGTAGCAAAAGCACTAGCAAACCTAGCAAAGAAAGTAGGACCAATTCTTCTTCCAATTCTGAATGCAATAGCATCTGCGCTGTCATGGGGAGCAAAAGGAGTTGCCTGGCTAGCGTCAAACTTATGGGTACTAGTTGTAGCTGCCTCTTTGATTATATACAATTATTATACTAAGTAAAGTATAATAATGGCTGAAAGTGTTGAATACAAAGCAGCATGGATGGAAAGGGTAAGCACCATCCTTGATGAATACAGTAGTGAATATTCTGATATCTGGGAAGGCCTCGAAGATGAGGATATAGATAGGCTAGATAGATTATACCCTGGCTATAGGGAAATGGAACCTGAAGTTATGGACTCTGAAATAGAAATTCTACGGAGTCAAGCAATGGGAACAGAAGACCCGAATGAGAACAGAGATATTCGGATGGAAATTGAATATGTCAGCCGACTTAAGAGAATTAAGGTCTGGAAGAGGTCAGAAACTGAGGTCTACCTGGACGCAACCCATGGAACTCTCAAGGAAGAGGTAAAAACCCTAGTTGTACTCAAGAGAATAGCTAAGGCTGAATTCAAAAGGACCAACTACTCAGAAAGAATAGACAGGTTGAAGGAAATTATAAAAAACTTAGGTTTCGATCCCAATGAGCCTGAGAAGGAGCTAGAAGTGGAGGAAGAAGAACGCAGGAAGAAAGAAGCTGCAGGGAAGGAGGAAGAGGACCGAAGAAAGGCAGCTGAGTTGGAGCGCAAGAGGATTGCAGAAGCTGCTGAACTAGAGCGCAAAAAGAACGCAGAAGCTGAGATTAAAAGACAACAGGAATCCTTGAAAGATGATAAAGAGAAAACAGAGTATTGGAGAAAAAAACTTGAACAATGGCAGAAGGAAAAGAATCAGCCTAAAGAACCCGGGAAGCCTAAACCTGAGAAACCTGAGGTACCAAAAAAGCCTAAAGCTAAAGAACCCAAGAAACCTAAGCCTGAGGAACCTAAGAAGGTAGACATAGGTGAGAAGTCTGAGGAGCCCGCAGGTCCTGACACTGAATGGGTAGATAATACTTACAACTTTGAGAGTCTTCTGTTCCAAGTCGCAGAGGATAGTATCCCAGAAGACAATCAACCTATATTCAGTGGTGACAGCACAAAAACAATGGTGAAGGATGTTAGAGAGGATCTAACGAGGTATGAAAGATTCAAATCATGGGTTGAAGATAACTTCGGAGTTGTGATTGCAGGTATTATAATATCAGTTGCTGCTCTCCTTACAACTGTCATTATACAGACCAGGAAACTTTCCTTAAAAGCAGCAAACTTTTTAAATAAAGGTTCAGGTTCAGATTCACAACCAAGACCACTCCCTGATGTAGCAAACAAACTAATTAAATTCATATCATCAAACTTATGGAAAATAGCAATAGTTGTAGGAATAGCCTTATACTTTTACCACTAAACATTACATATTGTATAAAGCATGAATAGCACAGAAAGAGAACTCCAGCCTGGCTTCAGGAGAAGCCGTATGACATCCATAAAAGGACTTAGAACTAGAAGTGTTGTAACTTTCAATTCAACAACAATTAGCCCGGGAGAAGAGCTGTACATTAACATTCCTAAATTAAAGCCCGACTCTTGTTTAGTTCCAGGGTCACTTGCACTATTATTTGACTTCAAAAATTCCAATACAAAGAGCAGGTTCAATAATAACCTAGCTAAGTTGATAGCTAAACGTCTTCAAGTTAAAGTAGCAGGTGAAACAGCCTATGACTGTTCAGGGGAGAGTCTGTATGAAATTTACAAAGATCTATGGCTAACACAGGGTGACAGAAATAAGATGACAGAACAGGGCCTCGGAAGTGAAAACCTGAGAAAGCTGATATCAGGTGACGACTCGGGAGTAAAAGCCGGCGATGCTAATAAAGTAGCAGATGGACTTCTCCATAGTGTGTACGGCTCTAAGCTGAGAAAACCGATTGACAAAATAATCGCAGACCATGGACTTTACGTACCATTCTACATGAACAACAATCCTATGTACATATTCACACTCCCACAATCAGATGAGATTATGACTGCACAAGGAGGTGAAGCTAAGGGTAATAATAAACTGGATAATCTCGAGTTAGAATACGAGACCATTGAGAATGACGCCCTTGCAGGTGAAGTATCAAGGATGTACTCAACAGGTCGCTCACTGTCCTACAAACATGTCACACTTATGCGTACAAGTAACTGGGACAAGGATCTTACTATTGTCAATGAAAACATAAATATCCCCAGAAAGAGCATGTCAGCAATTGTCCTTCTATTTACCAACAGAGTAAGAACTGATTCTGAAGAATATACTTACCCAAACATTGACAAAGTGAACCTTACCATTGAGGGTGTGCCTAACGCAGTCTTCTCCCAAGGACTTCCTAAAAGTAGGTTCTTCGAAGAGGCAAAACGATTCTTTTGTCCTATGTGTGAGAAATCCATGGCAGACGAATTTATGTCCATCAGCAGGTTCTTCAGCACCGGTTTCGCTTTAGTAGTAGATCTAAGGTCAACACAGGATGACACCACTGGAGGAGGTAGAAAGATTGTTAACACACAGTCTGGAGTACTTATGGAAATTAAAAAGAGAGCCACAACAGCTGACATCCAATGCAACATTTTTGTTGTATCAGATGCTCTCCTTAACTTTGCTAGTAGAGATCTATCAAGTATTCAGTACTAATTAGTACTAACGGTAAAGCATAGAGATGAATCTAGAGCCACCATTTAATATGCTCATAGTAGGAATGACTGGAAGTGGTAAGACTCAGTTCTTACTTAATATGTTAGAAACAGAATACAATAAAGTTTTCGATTATATTGTTATTATATGTCCAACAATAGAATGGAATATGACTTACATTAACTGGGCTCATATTAGTGACCACGGAGTCATACAAATTCCATGTTCACAAGAAATGATCAATCTTATTCTCAAGGCAGTGTCCACCGTATTCCGCGGAACCCAGACGCTCATCATTGTGGACGATTGTGCTGCAAGTCAAGATGTAAAGAAAAGAGTCTCAGAACTGGTGCGTCTAGCATTCTCCGCAAGACATTACAATATATCTGTAATTGTAATTACCCAACAACTGTCATCAGTAGCAAAACCATTTAGGGAGAACATTTCCAGATTAGTTACATTTTACAACCCTAGTCGCAAAGATATGAAGGTCATAACAGATGATTACCTAAGCGGCGTTCCTCAGGAGACAATTACAGAAATTACGAAAATACTAAAAGATGAGAAGTTTACCGCATTAGATATACTCCTCATTCACCCTTACACATACACCATCAAACTAAACACCGCGTAGGATATAGAAGATGGGATCAGACTCTGATGAAGAAATATCTGCAGCTGTGAGGGAAGTAGAAGAGGCCGCAAAGACACCGCAAAAGAAAGCTAAGTCTACCGCAAGAAAAAATAAACCAACCACAGATAAGTCGCAAACCGAACACAAAAGGAATAAGCTTATCGAGCTATCTAGGGATGGTGTAATCGATAAGACCGCAAGTTTCATAAGAAAGTCCAACAAAGATGTTATAGATAAACTTTACAGTGAGTATGAAAGTCAGAGGATGTCATGCGCAAGTGACTTCTTATCAACACTTATTATCTCAAAGTTTGCTTCCATACTAGGAAGTTTTAATGCGGTGG